GTCACCAATTGCTTTTGCCCATTCAGTAGTGGTCCTGTTCCACCCTGGGCCTTCCTTTTATTCCCTATATATCTGAAAAACAATTTTTTGTTATTCTTAACTTGGGATGCCATCTGCAGCTCCATGGTACCTTTGGCCTTTCTAACTGCCTCCCTACAACTTCAAGCTGAGGAGGTTTACTCCTCTTTAGTAATCTCTCCCTGTTTCCACTGCTTATATGCCCCGCTTTTTGCCCTTAGGCTGCTCTGGATTTCTCTGGTCAGCCAAGGAAGCCTCTTGGCCCCTTTCTACCTTTACCCCTGCTTCGGGATCGTCTCCCTCTGTGCCCGAAGGATTGCTTCATTGAGGCACAGCCACCCTTCCTGGGCTCCCATCTTGCCAAATCTCTTACTCTGCAGTGCATCATTGACTAAACGCCTGAGCTTGCTGAAGTCAGCCTTCCTAAAGTCTAGCACTTCCACCCTACTAGTTACCTTTCCCACTTTGCGCCTTATGGTGAATTCTGTTATTTGGTGGTTACTGTCCCCCAGATGACCACTGATCTGTAGGTCCCCTACCATATCATCCCCCATTGCCAATACCAGGTCCAGTAAGGCATTCCCTCTAGTGGGACCGTGTACCTCCTGTGTCAGGTGGAGGTCCTGTACGCCAGATAGGAACCTGTGTGAACGGTGGGAATTTGCTGTCTGTGTCTCCCAGCAGCTGTCAGGGTACTTTAGGTCCCCCATGACTACTGCTTCCCTAGTCTTTATGGTCTCCGAGAGCTGCCTCAGGAGTTCCAAATCTAGTTCTTCGCTTTGGTGTGGGGGTCTGTAGCAGACCACTACCACCAAATCCTTTTCCCCTTAACCTCCATGTATCCTAACCCACAATCCTTCTACTTTCTCCTCCTCCAATTCTATTTTGATAAGGGTCGATGTATAACGCTCCTTGACATAGAGTGCAACCCTTCCCCCTCTCCTCCTCACTATCCTTTCTCTATAGCTTATAGTCCTCAATGCGTACCACCCAGTCGTGGGTAGAGTCCCACCAGGTTTCTGCTAACCCCACTAAGTCGTAAGTGTTTTCTGCAAGCAGGAGTGCTAGTTCATCCTGCTTGTTCCCCGTGCCTCTAGCATTAGTGTATAGGCACTTGAGCCCTGTGACTGACACCTTTGTCGCCCCCCGGCTCTGATGCCCAGTGGGCCCCTTATTGCTTACCTGTGCTGTACTGTTGGACGTCCCATGGATTGCAGGTTCCTGATGTTCTCCTTCAGCCTCCCTGTCCCCCGTCTGAGCTAGTTTAAAGCCTGACGTAGGAGATCAGCCAACCTGTTGGAGAAAAGACTTTCACTTTTCACTGAGAGGTGAAGTCCATCATGCCCCTGCAGCTGTCAAATTTGATTATGTATACCAGGAAATCATTTGAGAGACCAGCATTCAGTCCACAGGTGCCATATTTGAGGTTAATTTTCAGAACAGAACTTTCCTTAATTGACCTGGGAGAACTGAAAATTCCCCTCCACCCCTCAACACAGCAGATTAATAACTGGATGTTATGTGCAGCCCTGTAGTTAGGTTGACCCATTATTAGAATTTTTAGTGGTAGCTTTGCTTTTTTTAATACCCATTTTAAGGACTTTAATTTTTTCATTTTTCTTTTGATAAGGGCTTCTAATTTTCACAAAACCTTATTACAATGCTTCTATAAAGCTTGGAGATGCTATATTCTTATAATTGTATTTTGTTAAAGGTTGGAAAAGAGATGGATTGATAAACTTAAATGTACCCTTTTCTGAGATTTGGAGTGAACTTTGTAAAATACATGTTTTCTCTTCTAAAAAAAACCCACCTATAAATGTAGAATGGTCATTTAGTGATAAAAGAAAAAACTGTGTGCATCTTTTCACTGGAATTGGCTTAAAGTAGGTAGTAAGCCTGTGCGAATAGGGAAGCATTTGATTCGGATTTAGCCAATTTGGAGGACAGTGATTTGATCTGGTGGTTTACATCACTGTCCCCATTCGATTTGGCCAAATTAGAATAGGAGATTCGGTGCTGATTGGGATCCACTGGGGAGAGGCAGGCACAGCTGGGAGGCTGCTTCTTCAGCTGTGCCTGCCTCTCCCTGGGCAAGGGGAGCTGTGGGAGAAGCCCCCGTGGTTGCCCTACCCAGCCCCATCCCCTGCCTGGCCCCAGCCTCCTGGCACTTAAAAAATGAAACAAAAACAACCCCCCCCCTTGCACTTAATGGTGGTAGCTGAGGCTGTGACAGCTCTGGGGCCATGTGGCATAGCCTCCCCGCCCCTGATGGCTGCCCAGCCTCCTGGCAGTTAAAAAAGGGGGGGGGCACGCACTTACTGTCTGCAGCAGTGGTGGGGATCAAGGCCTCTGAGGGCTTGTGGCAGAGCCCCCCCCCACACACAGAGGGGGCAGGGGTGATGCCCCCCTCCACCTGGCATCTGGAGCTACTGGACAATGTGCAGTGCCCTGCTGAGTTGCGCTGCACCGACGCCATGGGGCAGCTGTCACCTGGGTGCCAGATGAGCTGGGACGTGATCCCCGCTGTCCCTTACAGCCCTGTGTTGCGTGAGGGGGCTCTGCCACAAGCCCTCAAAGTCCCTGATCCCTGCTGCTGCAGCCAGTGAGGGTGGAGCTTTTTTTTTTTTTTTAAAGTGCTGGGAGGCTGGGGCCAGGTGGGGGATGGGGCCAGGCAGCCATGGCAGCTTCTCCCGCGGCTCCCCCTAACCAGGGAGAGACAGGCATAGCCAGAGGAGCTGTTGCCCATCTGTGTCTGCCTTTCCCCGGCCAATCTGAATCTCCAAATCTCTCCGAGTCTTTTCCAAATCAATTCAGAGGCTTTGTATTTGATTTGGACCTTTTAACGGGTCTCCCAATTCGATCTGGGTTTGGCAGTTTGGCTGCTGAATCAGGCCAAATCGCCTCCGAATCGAATTGGCGACTGAAGCTTTGCACAGCCCTAATAGGTAGGCAACTGTTTTCACTCCTTTAATTTTTGTACTACTCTTAAGGATTTAATATTGGAGTATACCATGCTCCAATTCAAGTACTACTTGCGTAGAACAATATTTGAATTATAAACTTCATTCAGGAACCTTTTTTTCTTCCTGGCATCTAGGCTGCTGTGTATAGGTGATAAGTGTTCAGCAATTTTTAAGTAGCCAAGATGCACTCTTAAGGTGAACCAGCTGTAAATGCCTTTGGCCTGTCCTATCTTCTTTGAAGGACCCTTTTTAGAGGGCTGTTTGGTATCGTGAACACCCCTGGTAAATTTGAGAACTGTTAGTTTTAATTTGTGGTTGCAAGTATATTCTCTGTGTCTCTTTTACAAGTATATGGCTTGAGTTCTAGTTTTGTTAAAAATATACTTTCCTATATCTTGAGATCCTCTGGTAAGTGTGTTGTGGTGTGGGGTG